GAGAGAGAGAGAGAGAGAGAGAGAGAGAGAGAGAGAGAGAGAGAGAGAGAGAGAGAGAGTTATGACATTGAGATTTGGTGACATTCGGATTCAGACTTGACATTTGGACAGAGACATCGTGGGCGACTATTTTTGGATCGGTATCAACGACATTTTCAGTTGGCGACATCTTTCCTTTCTCCCCCCCTTCATCTGTCCTCCCTCCTCATCAATGTATGCTAAGGCCTGGCGCCTCTTCTCTGTATGTCAGCGCCAGGTCTCCACACACACTGTGTAATGATGATGATGATGATGCTCAGTCTGTGTCGTGACATTGATTGGGTCTGATTATTGGTATTTCTGTCTTCCATTGTGCTATCCTTACTACATCTGTGCGCGGTCGGTTCTTCGGTCTGGTCTGCACCACATTGGTATGCGACATTGTGGGAGATAGGGAAGTTGAAGCGAGATGGCAAGATGAGGGGGATTTGTCAGATTTGACATTGGTCTTTAGTGGTGTACCTCTTATTTTTCTTCTTCTGTCTTTGCGAATTCCTCTTTCCAAGTGATTTCACTTCATTTGCAATTGAACCACATTGCCTTCCTTTGTGTCAATGCACTTCGAAATAGCCATAATCATAACCCCCCAAACCATCCTGAATCCATGCGACACCAGAAACACTCCTGCTTCAAGCACCCTGGCCTGCTCAGTCACCATGTCCTCTGAAAGCTACAGACCATAGGAGGCAGGAAGTTATCGTGGGTGTTTGCCATGGAAGGGGGTAGGAGGGGAGGCAGAGTGCATGCCACAAGTGACAACTTAAAGCCACGCCAGTGTAGGAGGTTACCACACACCTCTCCACGAAAAGTGAACTGGCATTCTCCTGCATTGACAAAGCTAAAAGCTGGCATGAGACTATTAAAAAAAAAAAAACAGAGAAAGGTGTGACCTGCCCGAGTGCCACTATGACATGAAGATCAGGTACATGCAGAAGCTGTATCCCATGACAAGTGAACCATAAGGATGCTGTGTCAAGTAATTGATAGTAAACTAGCGGCTCATGTTCACTTACAGAAGAGGATCCTGCACAGACTCTGCAGATTGAGGTATCAGCACGAGATTGTCAGCCGCAATTCTAACTCGTTGTCCTGCAAGGTCAAGATTGTCAGTCTCAGTGGGAGATTTATCTGCTGGACTGCGTACACTTACTGTGCAGTACACTATACGGCCCATCTCACACAAAAACACAATTGGCACCACTAACTGTGCAGTACACTATACATCACCCTTCTCTCACAAAAACACAATATGGCGCAAACATGAAGATGCAAAAAAAATCTTAAGTGTTTGCAAGTTAGCAACTTAACACGTACCAGAGCTGCTGCAAGCTTTCTAGCCAGCTTCTTCTGACTGTTATCTACCTCCCCGAGGTTCTCCCCATCAACAAGCACCTTCACCTTGCAGCGCCCGCCAGGCAATGGCTCCGAGACGAGTTCTCCGTGCTTAGCATGTGCTTGACAAAGCTCAAAGAACTGTGTCACAGGATGCAAACCCACCGTTTCTGGGGTCACCTCTGGAAGAAATTCTTTACAAACCTGCATCACCCATTGATGATCAGAGAAACACAGCCAGAGTCAGTTGATTTCCTCAGTAAGACCCATATGATGGCACGCAGGAAACCAGCGGAAGGTGATGCAGTCCGACATAGAAACTCAAGTATGGGCCATAATCAGAAAAATACGACAACTGAGAAGCAGACATGCTATGGTGAAAAGCCTAGATCTGCTTTTTCAAAAAGACAATGGGCTTGAGGTTTCATCATTTGAACTGACCGGCCCTAGGCAATTCAGAATTGCAGTATTTTTAATATTTTATTTGTCTGCTTCCACGGAGTTCAAACACAGGTCTGGTCTGTATTTCAACAGTGCAGGGGTGTACAAACTGAGTTAGACCAGTTGGCACTTGGAAAGAAAAAATGAAAACAGATGCATTTCACTGAGGGAAAAATACTGAGGGGACAGTTAACAAGATGGTAAAGTTCTCTACGTCCCACATCACCAAGCACAGTCCATCAGGAGATTCAATCCCATATGGATGGCATCCCATCAAATGACACATGTCAATTGTGAGGAACAAGCCCTTGAGGGGCCCTATCAGACATCACATTGTCCTGGGCTAAGGCCCCCAGCAAGCTAAGTGCCCGCCCTAAGTGAAGGCGGGCCTGAATATTCGTCAAAGGCAAAATTTGACAATTACATATGTGGGTATTCAGGCTCTCGCAGCACGCCAGTTGGTTGGGAAGCCGCGTGAGCCTCACATTGCTGCGTCATACAGTTGGCCCAGGCCTTGACAGTTGCGCCTGGGCACACATACACAAAGCAGGGCCGATACATTGGGAAGCAGGCCTTCGGCCTTTTCAAAAGCAGTAGTGCCAACGCACCTGCCTGGGAGCCCTGCAAAGATGCAGCAAACAGCCCAAGTCCGGAGACTCAGGCCATGCCTAACTGCAAAAGGGGCCCAGGCCCTCAACTGTAGTCTCGGGCCTGGGCGCAGGGTCTGGGACCCAACCGGAAGCTACTGGAAGCTTCCAGCCAGGCCACACGCAGCATCCAGGAGGCTGCCACTTCCACAAAAGGAAGGAAGCAGCCCAGGCCAGGCATTCTGGCCAGCGCTGGCAATGTGGAAGTGCTGCTGCGCTCTCGCTTGATGCTGCGCTGCTGTCAAGGGCGCTGACGGGGAGCGAGAGGTGAAGTGGGGCGCCGCAGGGCAGTGGGGCGCAGGCAGCCATAGCCGGGCTGCTGGGCGCCAGGGGGTACAGCAGATGATCAGGTGGTCTTCAGGGAAGGAGGCGCTGTGTGGGGTAATCAAGGTCTGATTGAGGGTGATGAGATACGTACCTGGTACATGAAGAGAGGTCCGCGATGGTGTTGGCAGTCATGTACATTGGTCTTCGAGAGTCGAAGCGATCCTGTTGCGTGAACCAGCTGTAGGTAGGCTAGTCAGGTAGAGTAGGCTGGGCGCCGAGCGCCAGACAGGAGAGAGCGACTTTGGATACTGTGTTGGTGTCGCCTACAGGCTTGGACATTGGCTCATTACTTCATTGTATTGCTCTATATGGATGGTTTTCTCGGTGCATTTGTACTCTCTGCTTGGGACACGACTACTTGTTCAGCTGTGTGACTTCGCAACTTTGTTTTATGTATATCGCTCACACTCATATTCCTTGCAATTTGGTATCGGAGCTGGTTGGTGATCGCCGCTTACCTGGCACCAGCGACATTGTGACTTGGTGCGCTGATGATGCTTCATGTGCAGTAAGGATACTTTGGCGCTGGTTGATTAGCGGGGCCTAGGTGGAGAGGCCGGCCGCTGGAAGGCTGTGGCGACAGCGGGTGTATGCATGATGATGAGAGTATGCTGACGTGGCATTTTGGCTGAGGTGGCACTGCATTGTGTTGTGGGTGGTACCGAGGCTAATGACCGGTCGTTGAAATGCACGTCGGCCCAATTGGTGAGAAATCTGTGGTTGGGGGCAGCTATCTCCAGGTACTTTGTTCCCATTCCTTATCTGCCCTCTCAATCTCTTCTTACCATGAGGAAGTGAGTCCAACTTGAGTGTCCTCTCTTTGGTGAGGAGTCGTGTGCGCTCTATCTTGAGAGACGACATTCTTCCCGGTGGCGCATCTGGCAGGAGAGGGCGGTGCCTCTGAAGGGCCCTGGTCGAAGCACGGATCACGGTCACCATGCCAACCCATGGGTATTAGTACACGCAGGCCATGCTGCTTTGTCCGTTGAGGCTCTTTGCTGCGCTGATAGAAGGGGTGTGCGGACTGACCAGTCCTACGTAGACACTCCCAGACTGTCTATGAACATTTCTGGTTGGGGTCTGAACGGTCCACTGACTGTGATCGTCGTCCTGATTGCGACGTTAAAGAATTCCTGAGGACTCTCGAGGACTGTCCTTAAATTGCCTCTTGATCAGCCAGATCAGTCAGACGTAAGGCTCGTTGCACGCGAGGGTAAATAAAGGGCAGGCTGGTCATAAGCATACTTCTTGGGCACAGGGGTGGGCCGTGGTTGTACACCTTAGACACCGCAGCTTGATGATGCTCACAGGTACGTTGGATACAGGGGAAGGGGATTCCAATTGTGAACTCAATTGCTAATCACTATATTTTCCGTTGTGCATATATCTGCTCAGTGTAGTTTATTTTTATCTTGATTAGTTGGTTGACAGACTGCTAACACCTAACAAACAGCCTAGAGTAGGACTATAATCTACCATAGTCAGTTATCCTTGAAGCTTCTGTGCAGAACTAATCAAAGATAGAAGTAGACTACATGTATACAGTTTGTGTAGGTGCTGTTGATACCGCTTGACTAGTAGTCTAGGTAACTCGCCGGACATTAATTATTTTATTTATTTCTAGAACCCGTCAGACGCATGGTGCGGTAGGTCCCAAAGAGGACATTAGTGCAGACAGCATCTGCCTAGTCCATGAGCGAATCAGACGATGGGGAGGATAGATCTGACGATAGGAGGCAGACCCGACGGGATACCGGTAGGATACCAATTGTGTTCCAGGTTCTTCTACCAGGAGACGAGAGAATGCTTAGGGCCAAGACAAGAGCCCGCAATCTAGAGACTGCGAGAGCAGCAGCAGCAGCGGCTGAACGTGCGTTAGCAGCAGCAGCAGCTAGCGCTGTAGCTATGGCTACCACGGCAGCAACTTCTGCTGCAAACTCAACTGGTGAAGGGTTGGGCATGCCGACCAGTTCACAATCCATCTCCAGTACGTCCGCAACTGGCACTAGTTAGATGGCGGGCTCGCAGTTCAGCTCGCCGCCTCCACGCACCCGGGACCAGATGGAGCTCCAACAGGTTGAGAGGATTCGTTTAAGGCTAGAGGAGGAACTCAGACAGGCTCCTAAAAGAGAGAAAGAGATTAGAGATAGGAGTGTCAGACTAGAGGGTAGGGAGGCAGATAAGGCTGCGCTAGAGGGGTTAGATGACTCGACCCTTAGCAATAATGAAAAGATTATGAAGGCGAGCATCCTGTCCATGCACGCATACATGGACAGTAAACTGGATACAATCCAGGACACCTTAGACCAGATCCTAAATGCCATGCACAAGGCAGGAATCAGGCCAGCAGTCTTGCCGTCGCTGCCATTCTCGGCAACGACAGGCCCTAATGCCGCTCAGTCCGGACCACCGCCAAGTGGTACATCAGCAGCAGCCCTATCTCAGACTGTTGCTTCTTCATCTTCCGGTCCAGCGACTGGTGCTACACCAAAATCGCCACCTGTCTCACCAGCGGGACAGCAATTTCCTTGGTATCCCAAGACCCCCCTGAAACCACCTTCAACCTTCTCAGGAGACAAGAAGGACGAGGCTCTCAACACGTGGTTGAGAACGGTGCCAGTGTGGGTGAGGGCAAAGAGGACATTGGTAGAGGAGGAAGTGATTACTGTCGCGGTTCAGCAGCTCGCTGGCTTAATGGATTGGTAGGAACACGGGTGATTGGGCGCAGACCCACACCCTGGAGAGCTTTATGGACCTAGTTGAGGCTCGATGGCACAACCCTCAGCTGGCACAAATTGCCACTGATGCGCTTTTAAAGGTTATGCTAGAAAATACAAGTCAGTGCGAGAACTTACCACAACCGTAGAGCGCTTGATCGTGGTCCCAGGAGTGGAGTACAATCCACAGGTCTTATTGACCATGTTCTTGAGATGTCTTCCCACAGATATCAAGAACTTACTACCCATCGAGGCTCGCTTAGAGTATCACACCTTTGAGACATTCAGTAAAGAGGCCTTAGATTTAGAGGCTACGCTAGGTAGTGCTCAAACCCCTTTTACGGATGGGAGGAAAAAGAAAACTCCACAAAAATGGAAGAAGGGCAGTCGATTGATCATGGTTGATTCCGAAGGGAATCAAACTGAAATCGATGATGTTTCTGAACTTGTGGAGGGTGCAACGTTAGACGGCGAGGAGAGTGTTGAGGGTAACGATCTCGCCGCAGTGGTTAAGACTAAGGCAACAGGCCGCGGCAAGGGCGGTCAGCAAAGGAGTCAGGGGCAGGCCGCTAACCCAAACAAGATAGTTGCTTGGGTTAGAGCAGACTTGGATCAGGAAGTGTGGCGAGATCGTTGGTCGGGAGGTGCTTGCATAAACTGTGGCGAGTACGGCCATACACAGTTTAAATGCAAGAACCCGAAGGTCTCGCAGAAGATCCCTCCTAAGGGTGGGTTTCCTTCTTCTCAGTCTGGGGCCTCTACGAGCTCCAGCTCGGGAAACACTTAGGGCCGGTAGAAGATGTAGTTGCTTCTACTCTCGTTGAAGCGGGTGATGTACCCTCCCCGTTTCAAGAGTTAGCCGAAGCTATCGACTCATTAGTCACCCCGCACACGCATCCGGACCCAACTATACTCTGTATATTGGATGTGCCTGAAGCCTTAGAGGACCTTCAAGGTGAGTGGTCGGCAAGGGACCCTTGTGAGTCATGGGTGGCACTGAGTAGAGGTCCTAGAGGGGAGCACTTCGTTGTGGAAGTTGGTGTGGGTGGTCGCAAGTGCGGCGCCTTCGTAG